TTTATCCATTCGGGAAGAATGGCAGATGAAGTTGATGGACTATATGGAATTGGCGGAAACGACTGGCAGAAATCCGAGACCAGGGAGAAGAGCTGGTGGAAGAAGACTGGGAAAAGTTTAAGACTATTTATAGAAATACTGTAAAAATAATGAATGTTTGAAAAATGTTGGAATGGAAATGATATCAGGGGTTATGTATAACTGAGTATTAAGTTTCAAGCTTTAAGGTATTTTATGGTAAGATAAGGTTAAATAAATTAAGGTAATTTGAATAACAGAATATGGGGAAAGATGGAAAGGATCTGTCGAGTTAATTAATAGGTTAAATTGTTAAGATAAATTATTTAATAAAAATTGAGAAAGATGGAAAGAATTTGCTGAAATAACTAACTAAACTAGAATACAAAAAGGGAGGTGTGAGGAGGTCAACGAAACAAGCAAATGGAAGTTAAAGATATGCAATATGGGATTTGTGTCTTTTTTTCCTTTTTTATATTTTTTTTATTGTATTGTATTGGTTTTTATGTTTTGCGCTTTTTCTTCTTTTTATGTATTGTAGTGTTGTTTTTATTTTTTTATTTTTCTGTAATTCTGAAAGTATTAATAAATATTATTTTTTAAAAAAAGAAAAATGTTGGAATGAAGTTATATGGCTTTAGTAGAAATGCTATAAGGAATCAAGTACAGTGGTGCCTCGCAAGACGAAAAGAATCCGTTCTGGGAGTCTCTTCGTCTAGCGGTTTTTTCGTCTTGCGAAGCAAGCCCATTGACGGGATTAGCGGATTAGCGCTATTAGCGCTATTAGCGGCTTTTAGCGGCTTTTAGCGGCTTTTAGCAGCTTATCAGCTTATCAGATAAGCAGATAAGCGGCTTAGCGACTTAGAAAAAGAGGGGGGAAAGGGGGAAAAAAAACCAGGAACTTGCAAGACATTTTCGTCTTGCGAAGCAAGCCCATTGCAGATTCGTTTTGCGAGGCACCTCCAAAACGGAAAACTCTTTCGTCTAGCGAGTTTTCCGTCTTGCGAGGCATTCGTCTTGCGGGGCACCACTGTATAAATAGATTAATAGTGTATTAAAGGGAAAATAAGGCTAGAATATGTCAAGATAATTATAGGATAGAAAACAGAGGAAGATGGAAAGGAATTGCTGAAATAATTAATAGAAGTGGAAAACAGAAAGGGAGGTGTGAGGTGGTCGTGGAAATAAGGGAATGAAAGATAAGACATTGAAATTGTCTGTGTTTGAAATGGTTTGTGTCATGTTTTGTTAGTTTTATGTTTTTCTGTTTTTTCTTTTTTTGTTCTTTCTTTTTTTTGGTCTTTCTGTTTTGTTGTGTTTAAATGGTTGAAAATTAATAAATATTATTATAAAAAAAGAAGGAAGAAACATTTTCACCCAGCACAAAAAAATTAGTGCTGGTGGCAGGCAGAGGCTGCCACTCAAAAGGGCCCATTCTCTTGCTACCATCTTATGGAGACTTCACTTGGAGGGTCTCAAATTATGATCTTATGGTCCAGGTTGTTGTTGTTTAGTCATTTAGTCATGTCCGACTCTTCGTGACCCCATGGACCAGAGCATGCCAGGCACTCCTGTCTTCTACTGCCTCCCGCAGTTTGGTCAAACTCATGCTGGTAGCTTCGAGAACACTATCCAACCATCTCGTCCTCTGTTGTCCCCTTCTCCTTGTGCCCTCCATCTTTCCCAACATCAGGGTCTTTTCCAGGGAGTCTTCTCTTCTCATGAGGTGGCCAAAGTACTGGAGCCTCAGCTTCACGATCATTCCTTCCAGTGAGCATTCAGGGCTGATTTCCTTAAGAATGGATAGGTTTGATCTTCTTGCAGTCTACGGTCCAGGTAGATTAATATAATAAGAGTTAATGCCTGAGGTATTGCGGTTCCAAGCCTTGGTTGCCTTTAAAGCAGCATTTTGAATTGGACTTGTAAATGAGTTGGCAGGCTGTGTAGCTGGGCCAGATTTCCTATACCACAAACTGCGACTAAGCCAAATTTTACTGCCTGTGCAACTTTTCCTGAACGCAGTATGGAAAGGTCAAGGTCAGACACTCAAGTGGCTCCAGTCCAAATACTCAAGCAGTACCAACTGAAACTAATCTAACAAAATTGAACCAGAGTGAGTTCTGGATGTCTTTCAGTGCTTGGCTGCTGCAAGAATGGAGCCCAGATCCTAACAGGTATCTTCAAAACGCCTTGTGCATGAGTCACAGCAGGCAAACCAATAGTCCAGTGCCTCATTTTGACCAGCATACAAAAGGCTTCAAAACAAATGGAAAAGCTGAGCTGGATGGCATACAGAAGATGTAATGGAGGTAGCAAAGAAGCTCTTCTTTCTGTAGCTTATTGAGTAGGCTCAATAATGAACAAGTACTGTACAGCACTAGCGCGTCATTGCATTCAAGCTGTATACCACAGACCCATCTTAATTCCTAGGGAAATGAGTGTGTGTTCATCAGCAATCATGTGAATCACCTGGGTCATATTTGCATTCCACAGGTCCACCAGCCATATCAGCTTGGAACAATCCCCCCAAGCCAATTTATGAGGGCAGATGATACTAATGAACACCAACAGGTGATAAGAGAAATATATTTTTAAAATTTTAAAAAGAGAAATAAGAGAAATATATTTTTAAAATTTTAAAAATTGTCCAATAGCACCTTAGAGACCAACTAAGTTTGTTCTTGGTACTGTATAAGCTTTCGTGTGCATGCACACTTCTTCAGATAAACTGAAACAGAAGTCACCAGACCTTTATATATAGTGGGAGGGTGGGGTGGGGTTTTTCTCAGGAGGGTAGGAGATGGGCAATTGACTCAATGGGTATGGTAAACCTTTTGACGACTGTTAACGACTGTAATTAGTCCTACAGGAAAAAGCAAGGGATAATATGCAGATGCTTAGCATATGTAATGAGACAGGAATCCAACATCTCTATTAAGACCAGGTCTTTCCATAGTTTTCAGTTTAGTGATAATTGTAATTCAGCAACTTCTCTTTCAAGTCTGTTTCTGAAATTCTTTTGTAATAAGACAACTGATTTGAGATCTGAAGTGTTCTCCTACTGGCTTCTCCATCTTGTGATTCCTGATGTCATATTTATGTGATAATAGAATGGTGGTAAAATTCTCCACTCACCGTCTTCCTGTCCAGAGTATATCTGACTATGTGCATTGGGCCAGTCCCGTGACATACGCTTCAGGTTACAGACTCCGCTAACCCAGAAATAGTACCTCAGGTTAAGAACTTTGCTTCAGGATGAGAACAGAAATTGTCCTCCAGAGGCGCGGCGGCAGCAGGAGGCCCCATTAGCTGAAGTGGTGCTTCAGGTTAAGAACAGTTTCAGGTTAAGTACGGACCTCCGGAACGAAATAAGTACTTAACCTGAGGTACCATTGTATGATGTGGGGGTGGGGGTCATGATTTTATCGAGTTGTGATGCAGCGCTTGTATTTTGGCCTAAGTCAAATCAGAGCCCTCACAGATTATCGTGAATCACGTAATAGCAGAGTTGGAAGGGACCCTGAGGATCATCTAGTCTGCAATGCAGGAATATGCAGCCGTCCCATATGGGGACAACTTGTGTTGCTTTATTTCTGTACAGTGGTACCTCGGGTTACAGATGCTACAGGTTACAGACTCCGCTAACCCAGAAATAGTACCTCAGGTTAAGAACTTTACCTCAGGATGAGAACAGAAATTGTGCAGCGGGAGGCCCCATTAGCTAAAGTGGTGCTTCAGGTTAAGAACAGTTTCAAGTTAATTGGTTCTGGAGATCCGTTCTTAAGTTCTTAACCTGAGGTACCACTGTACTCTCTATCTCTATGGTGTCCTGCCTGTTTCTTTAGGCCCATGGGCTTTGAAAGAGGTAAGGATGTCCAGAACATGGTGTGTGGAACACTTAAGAGCTCTGAATTCATGATGCTGATATGATGCTAAAGTAGTGCAGCAGAATTTTATTTTTAGAAACTAAAGGGTTCATTTAACTTTTATTTATTTTTTAAAAAATATGCTGTTTAGCTTGGAAAGATCCATCCAGAGCACTTCAGATCTCTACAGTCACCTTGAAATGCCTATTGAAGGACAAACACAAGCATAATAAAGCTAAGCTGGCTAGTAGGCCTGTGTATAGCTTATCTGAGGCCCAAGGGCATCTGGGAGGAACGGGGTGTTCTTGCCATCACAGCATAAGTCTGGCAGGCACCCCCACTGACCAGCTTAGCCCTCCGAGGCCCAGAGCAAGTGTACCCAGCTGCCTTTTCCCTCTAAATAGGCCTGCTGGCCAGTGTGAAGCTGCTAACGTTCTTTTAAAAAATCACAAGCAATACACACCACGAACCTTTTATTTTAATGTAAGAGCGAGCAAGGGACAACCTCCCACTCCAGCAATCAGAAATATGAAATATGGATTTCCCCCTTGTTTTTCAACAAATAAAAATTTAAAGGGACCAACAAAGGTGGGGGTGGGGAGTGCCATAGAGGTACCTGCCTGTAATTGGGCAGGCTTAATCAACCATGCTGCAAATAAGATTTTCCATGTTGGGGTCCATGGTATGGATGCAAATATATAACATTATTTTTAAGACTCAGGGTTTGTGTTTACAGGCACTTACTGAAGGGAACATATATGGACTAACAAATTTTGATGCACAGTACCATGCTCTAGGATCAGTGTTTCCTAAACTTGGGTGTCTAGCTGTTTTTGGACTGCAACTCCCATCATTGCTAGCTAGCAAGACCAGCGGTCAGGGATGATGGGAATTGTAGTCCGAAAGGAGCTGGAGACTCAAGTTTGGGAAACACTGCTCTAGATAATCTCAAGGGGAAAAAATCGTAACATTTATATACTGCATGATTGTGGGGATGGAAGCAAATTGTGAGTTCACTGCCTTTAGAAAATGCCACATGTTTTTTAATGAGTGTTGCATTTAGGTTTTAATGTTAATTTTTTCATTTGCTTGGAAAATTAAGTGAGAACACACACATTTTATAATAAAGAAAACTGTATCTTTATTGTAAACAAGGTATAAAGTACATTATAAGAAATATTGTGCAAAAATTTTTAAGTAGTCACAAAATAGATATTACACCATTCTCCAATTGTTCACTTTTCTTCAGTACGGTACAATATAAAGCAGAAAAATGCTTGGATAACCCTGGCATTTGGGGCTGGTGTCTTTACTCTCTCCATTTCCTACACAACCCCCATTTTACTGATTTTAATCAATTTTAAACTATACCTTCAATATATAAAAGCAATTTATATACTTCTATCATAAACTATCCTCCAGAGTAACTTTTCAGAAAGTAGCATACCATACCACCTTTGTCCTTCCTTCTGAAAACAAGCTGTGTAGTTTACTCTTTAAGGATTATATTTTAAACAAAGTGCACTGTATCAAGGTTTTGAAAAAATCAGTGGTATAGAACTGTATAGGTATACAGGAAACAATACACAACTTAAAAGCAGAAATATTCAAAGATGCTGGTACAGCTAATGGTACTAATCATGTTGTTTTCTAAGGGTATAGTAAAAATACTATTGGACTTGCTTGTAGTAATAATTGAATAGATCAACTGGAACCATACGGCATCTCTCACTCAAGTCTATGCTTAACAGTTGTTTGGAACAGCTATAGTTTATATGCTAAGATATGGAGGTACACAAGTGGAATTCCATCATCTTTCATAATTGGGCCTCAGAGAATAAACCAAAAGGAAATTACAGCACTCTGCTATAAACAGGTCATCCCTGATTCCATAAACTGGTATTCTTATGTGTTTTGTTTACAACACCTCTTCAGAACACCTGCATAACTCTGGCTTAAACTTAGCTGATGCATTGAGCAGCTGAATAGTTTTCCACATGTTTAAAGCCACATTCTTGTGCTGGCATTGACACTTCCACTTCTCCAAGTACAAAGGAAACCTCCAGCCCTTCTGGTCACTGCTGCTCTCAGAAGTACAGCCAGCCATTGCCTCTCCGTCTGTTCTTGCACCATCAAAGGATGACAGTGCAGAACCACAGACATTTTGCAAGCTGTTTTGTGTCACCATGAACCTCCAACCACAGTGACAGTAGTTAGTTAACAGTATTGTCAGTTGGTGTTATTTCACTGTGCAAGATCAGAAGCAGGAGGTACAATAATATCATTTAATTTGCTGACTTCCATCTGCCAGTTTGGTAACTTCTTGGCTGACAAGTGGCGACGTGCATGCTTTGTTAAGTGGTCACTCCTCATGAATCGGCGATTACACATTGGACAGGCAAATTTTTTCTCTCCTGTGTGTGTTCTGCGATGGCGAGACAGTTCATCAGAACGTGCAAATCTCCTATCACAGCCCTTCCAACTACAGCTGAATGGCTTCTCTCCTAAAATACAAAATGGTAGAAACAGAGCATTTATTTACCAACAGAATATACAGTTTTTCTTGCACCCATTTTCAAGAAACAGAACAAGAAGTATTCTAAGAAAAATCCTCATCTGCGCTGTCAACACAGACCAGACAAAACCTTATAGAATCACTATCTTTGTAATTTCACAACCTGTACAGCCATTTTTCAAAAAGCAGTACTTCAAACAGTACTTCAAATTAAGCTTTCAGACTTCCAATCACAAACCTAGAGGAATCCCTAGACAATCAATGATATTATCCAAAGTGCGTGGGCAGACAACTACTATTGAAGATGGGCATTCAAATCATCAAATAAAGCATTAGTTTTATATTGCAGTAAGGTTAAATTTACACAAATAATCCGAGGTCTCAAAACCTACCTTCATGGAAGTGTGATTATGCAAAATATTGGATTTGGAAATTGCCAGGCTCCAAAATATTACTGAAATGTTTGGGTATGATTGCATTTGTGCATAATTACATAATACCTCTCTTTTACTGTATTTAGATTTACTGTACCACTATTAGATTCACTAGCCATTCTAAAACAGCGAAACAGTGACAGAATGAAACATAAGCTTAGACCTCAGCAGTGAGATAAAAAAGAAATAGCCTTTGTTAAGATTGCAGTCCTATACATATACATCAGAGAGAAATAGCCCACTAAACTCAATATGCATAGAACTGACCTATTAGTGAAAAATTCCTATGCAAGTGAAATAATGTTGAGGAAAACTTTGGGTTTCCCATTATGTTTTCCACAATACAAAACTCAGTAAAGGAGAAACCTCAGTATTACATGAATGACATGAAGACACACACAAACAATTTCCAACTTCTCAAGCAAAATTTACCTGTGTGTGTTCTGACATGTGCTTTCAAATGGGAACTCTTGAAATATGTTTTTCCACATCCTGGATAGCTGCACACATGGCTTCTTATTCTTAAAGAGTCAATGGATGGAGTGATTTTTGTTGCAGCAGGAGCAAAACCTGGAGCAGGAGCGATAGGTGAGAGCCTGGTGCCATTGGGACTGATCACAGGTGCTTTTGGATTCTGAACAACAGTTTGTGGAACAACAAACATAACAGCTCCTTTGGGAACTTGAGCTCCCATGAACACCATAGGCTGACAAAGGTTTGGTGACAACTGACTGCAGGGAGTGTTGGGTACTACTGCTGTCACAACAGAGTTGTTAGCAGACAGCGGAACCATCTGGCAAACCAATGGCACAGGAGGGACTCCCCCTGCTTGCACAGGAGATGTGGGAACTACCAGGGAAGAGTGTTGTGCTGAACCAGGCACAGGCAGAGGACTACTGAGTGTGGTCTGCATGAAAGGCACTGGACTGACTGCCAACACTGAATGTTTTTCTTCTTTCACATCGGGCCGCTTATCTTCAGACGTTGCAGCAGCCAGTGACACGCTTTCACAAGATGGATTTTGTTTCACTTCTGCATTGCCTTGTTGCTTTGCTTCCCTTGTGTAATCATCCCGACACCTCAAAATGCTGTCTGTTCTTGCTGGACAGGTTCTGTGACTGCAAAGCTGAGCATCGGCTGTATGGCGAATGACACTTGTCGCCTGTGCTTTCAGCATTCTCGATTCTGAAACTTTTTCAGTCTTCTTAAAAGCTGTTGGAGGGCCCTGCTCAGAAGCGTCAACAAGTGACTTGCTCTTTACAGTAGGTGGCGCTGGTGCAATGGGATGGACTGACTGAGCCATTTCAAGGTCAGAAGGGCTGTAGGGCGGAGTCAAGCACTGGAAGAATAAAAACATGGTGCAATTAGCTCTCTACTCAGCACAACTAATTAGCATGATCTATGAACTTCAGGCTGCAATTCTACACATGCTTACTTCAGAGCAAGTGCCAATAAATTGAGTAAATTTCCTTCTGAAAGAGCATGCATAGGACTTAGTTGTAAATAAGAAATTTATAATAATTGAATAAAGCTTACAAAGGCTGATATTTGAAAGTCAGTAGCAGGTAGCAGGTTGTCCTCAATTTCTTCAGACGTATCTGATGCTGGTGTTATTGGTCTCAGTTCAACGTACTTCTTGAAGTCTGATTTCCAACTGCAGCTCATGGACATTAAAGCTTCTACTGCTTCAAAATCACTCCTAATGTGCCGCTTTTCAGTTATCACCTCCATTCCTTCCTGCTATGAAAAAGAGAGGATGTTTTTCAGTATCAAACAGCAAATATAAGCTTATATGTTCATCAAATATTTAAAAAACCAGATTATATGTAGTAACTCCAGTGTTTTTAAGAGCCTCTCCTTTTTCCTATACCCCTCCTTTGAATGGATATTCCTAGGTTGGATACCATGAAAACCAAGGGTAATGAAATCTTACTGATCTCAATGAAACTCAGTCCACAAAACAATTAAGCTTAAATGGTTATAGTTAAACCAATGTATCTCATTAGATCAAAACAGTTTATGTCAAAGTACTTCCGTCCAATTGGATTCGGATCACTCTGCAAGGTTATGTAGAAACACTTAAAATGTTTCCCAGATCACTCTAGAGACACCTATGTCCTATGCCGTTTTCCCAGAACTGTAGTTGGAAGGGACCGGGAGCGTAAACTAGTTCCAACCTCCTGCACCCAACATGGGGCAAGAACTCATGACCCTGAGATTAAAAGTCTCATGCTCCAGCAACCAAGCTATCTCAAGTGTTAAAACAAGTTTCAAAAACTGAGTTTTCCCATCAGGGAACCGAACCTTGGTCTCCTGCATGACAGGCAGGGATACTTACTACTACACTCTTATTTCATTATTTTTATGGTGTGCCTTTGCTATTCCAAAGCACAATCCTATACAAGCATGCTCTGAAAGTCATTTGTCACTGGAGTTTGGTGGCACATACCCCCAGACAAACATGCACTGACTTCAACCTTAAAGGTTCCTTTATTGCTACTGTTGTGTTTTACACAAGCTAGGGACACAGCCTTGTGTTTTTAAATATTTGCTTTGTGCTAATTCATTCCATTACTAACACAAGGGAGCTGTGCTTCTCTCAAAACGTTACCTACACATGGCATGGGAATTAAAACCAAGTCCTGTTTCTGTAGGGCTTCAGTTTGGCTATCTTGAGGTGCTCCAAGCGAGGTTGTGGTTTAGGGATTCCTGTGAACAACTTGCTCCCCCCCCAAAAAAAGCCACCCCACCCCTCAAATTCCTTGCTCGTTTCCTGCGTGCGGAAAACCCCCATTCCGTTGCGCCCAGCCAGAGGTCTGAAGGATGCCTTTTGAATTTATGTGCAACACTTTTTACCCGCCTTTATTAGAGCCCCGTGCATAAGATCTCTTTCCCATGAAGTTGGCCAACCCGCCAATGCCTGCCTTCGGCTGCAACCCCTGCACCATAAGTCACGCCTCAAGGCGCGCGCTGCAAGGCCGCCATACAGGCGCAGAGGGCCGAGCGCCGAAAGGGAATGGCTACATCCGCCGCCGCTCGGCGACTACAAGGCCTAAGGAAGGCGGGGGCAGGGAGATCCTCGCCGGCAGCCGGATCTTGGAGCCGAGCCACGTTCACCTCAGAGAGCCTCCGCCGGTGACTCACACGCCCCGCCCGCCCATTCCAAACAGCACGCACTCGCTTCCCGAAGGACCGCCCTGCCCGCCGCCCATTGGCCGCCAAGGTCGGGCGCCGCGGGAGACGATTGGCCGGCCGCTACCCCCCCCAGAGAGTGTGTAGGCTCAGTGGGCGGGGACATGTGAACAAAGCGTGATCAGCGGCTGCTGCTCGGCGCTCGGGGAACGAGGACTGGGAATTGCCGCTCGGCGACCTTTCCCCTACTTCCTTGCCGCGCGTTCTAGAATGCGAGCTCTCGCAGGCCCCGCCCACTCTCCCCCTCCCACGCCTCGAGGCGAAAGGAGCAGAGGCGAGCATCTGTGCGTGCCGGAAGAGATCTCGCCTGCTGCTGCTGCTGGGAAAAGCTGATGATGCTCGTCCACTTGTATCTCCAGCGCGGGGGCGAGCCTTGAACTCAGCGCCCCAACCCTTCCACCCCACCAGTTCACGAGGCTTCTGTAAACGCATTTTTTTCCTGGGAGGCCCCCCACCCCCCCGTTTCCTGCGCGTGGGTTTGGGCAGGCCTGGCCCGCTCCCCCGAAGGCACCAGCAGCCGGGCGAATGTTTGCTTCTTCCTCCTCCTGCAACCTGACGGGCGTCAGGAAGCCGCGCACACACAGAAAAGCCAAGCCCTCGAGGCCGCAGCGCTAGCCTTGCGCGGCGCCCCCGAAGCCAACGCGCTCTGCTGGGAACAGAAAACGGCTTCCGCCTGCAAATGGGGCGGGGCGGGAGTTCCCGCCCAGGCTCGTCTGCTAGAGAAGGAGGCGGAAGGAAAGGGGCGAACGCACACCGCCAAGCGGGAGCCTCGCCCGGAGGAATGTGGGGCGAGCGGTCGGCGCCCTCATTTTATTCTGGAAGGCCCGCCTCGCCCGCTCAGGGAATGCGGCTCGCCCGGCCTCTTCCCGCTTTCCTTCAGTCATACCATGACCCACCCCGGGGCCGGGCTCGCCCCCTCAGCGCCGCCGCCACCCACCCACCCAAGTCCTGGCGGCCCCCCAAACCGCTTCACCGAGCCCCCCGTCACCCACACATTGGGTCTCACTCACGCCCTGTTCGTTTGTTTGCTTCGTCCCTTCCTCGCATTGGGGCTCTCTAAGCGAGCAGCCTGCCTCCGCCGCCGCCACATGCCGCCTCTTCATTTCCCGACTTCCCTCATCTCTCTCCACACGCGGGGTTACTTTCTACCAGCTTCTTTTCCGATCTCTTATTTCCCGGGTAATTCCACAATAGTAGTCCTTCCTCGGCAGCCTTTAAGCCTCTTTCAATCTCTCCCCTCCCCGCCTGCTTTAGCCTTTTCACTCAAATCACTTTTAAGAGTTGCCTTTCACAGAGTTGGAAGGGACCCCAGGGTCATCTAGTCCAACCCCCTGCTGCAATACAGGATTCTCACCATAGAATCAGGCCACATACCAAAAAGTTCCCCCTCGAAGAGGGCCACACTTGATGCTCCCCTATAGCCATACTCCCCTCCAGGCAGTTTCCAAGAGCATCGCCTCCCCCCCCCCCCAAGAAAGCCCCTTTCAAACTCAAATGTATATAATCCAATTGTGTTGCGTCGCAACATTTATGCACTGCACCCCAGTTCTTACACCTCGCTGCACACACCCATTTATAACCAAATATTCGTTTTCACAACACACACACCCTTGCAAAAAAAAGGTTCCACTAAGCCCCATTTCCTTCCTCCCCAACAGGTCCTTCGCTTCTTAAAAGCCTCTGACCGAGACACACCTCAAGCTGGTCGGATCTCTCTCTACGTTGCCCTTTTGAACAAATACGCCTTTTCCATCTCTTTACAGAAATCGCATCTTTCCCTTCTCCGCCAAAAGCACTTTTTCCCCAGCTGAAAGCTTGGTCCCCGCCCCCCAATCCACTCCACCGCTCCAAATGACTCTTGCAATGGACGGATAGATCTACTTACAGCAAGCTGGAAAGGAGACACTCCAAAATTCAGCATGACCCCCGATGGAAGGCTCCTCTCTCCCCCCCCCCCCCGTCAGGCTGCAGCCCTGATGCTGAACCAGCGAGGCTGCAGCTGTTGACAAGTTCCCTCCCCGCCCCGGGCGTTCTCTGCCTGCCGCTGTCTTTATTTTCCTCTTTTTGTTCGCAGGCAGCTCCCCATTCAGGTGGCGGCTCCCCAGCGCAGCGCGAGCAAAGGCGGGCGCCAGGCGCGGCCAATCGCCTACAAAGGTGTGTGAGGCCCTGGCCAATGGGCGGGCGGCGGCTGCGCGTGATCAGCGGCTGCCCAGCAGCGTGGAGGCAAAGTCATCTCGGCGTGTACACAAACCCGGCAGCGTGTCCCGGCGCAGCCTTCGGGTAAGTCCCAGTTGCTGGCTGAGTCAGTGTCACGTCTCTTCCCGCCCCCGCCCCTCCTCCCCTCCCCTTCTCCGGATCCCTGTGGGAGAGGCGAGGTGGGCTGCAGGGATCTTGTGCTTAGCAACTAAGACAGCTGGTGGTAAAAGTGGCATGCAAGAATTTCATTTTATTTTTTAACCCTCCCCATTCGGCTCCATCGTCTTATACAGATAAGATATGTATATAACAGGAAGTAACCATGAATGTGGGTGGTAATATTGTTCCACAGGGAACCAGTAGCTAGGCAACTGAGTGTAGCTTTTAAGCAGCATCAGGGACAACAGATTTATTTCTTTATTTTTAATCCTTTGGCACTTAACAAGCTCACTGTAGCCCATGAAAGTTTATGCTACAATAAGCTAAGGTGACACAAAACTCCTATTTTTCCTAAACTAACAAGAGTTTTGTGGCACTTTAAGTTACTGCAGCATAAATTTTCATGGGCCACAATGAACTTGGTAATCTTTCAGGTGCCAGACAACTCTTTTGTTGCCTGTCTAGAACCTGCTTAGGACTGGGCACTGTTTACTATTCACCTATTTGAGGAAGAGTGTGATAATTTGTTTAAGAAGCTTGGCAATTAAGACTTCAGAACTGAGAATTTCAAGACCTCAAATTTTCTGGTAAGGCTTGGGAGGCAGGGAACCAAATTCTGTTCTTTTATTTGTGAAATTTATATACCAGCTTTTCCTTCAAGGAGCTCAAGGTGACATATATCCCCTTTCCATTTTATCCTCACAACAACCCTGTGAAGTAGATTAGGCTGAGAGATAGTAACTAGTTCAAGGCTACCCACTGAACTACATATCTGAGTGGGGATTTGAACCCTGTTCTCCCAGGTCATTGTCTGACACTCTAACCATTCCACCACATTGGCCTTCTTCCTGTATCAGAAGGAATAGGGAAAACATCAACATTAGGGATTACGTGAAAGACCTGTCTCTGCTCAGGTGGGGATGGCTGTAGAGTTGCAAGGTGAGCGAGCCATAAATAGTACTATCAGTAGCAATGAAGGTATAATACAGCTAACAGGAGTAGCAGACGACTTCGCTTCTGAGCTTAGCCTACCTAATTCCCTTTCTTAGCCTCAGTGTGGAAATTCTGTTGTGCAGCTCCTGGCTGAGCCAAGTTGTTCTGGAAAAAATCTTAGCTGACTATCCATGTCAGTTTTTATGGACATCACAGCCCACCCACTTCATGCTGCTCTGAATATCTAGCATGTTTTGCCATATTCTGTGGAAAAAGTTGTAGCAGCCTGTTTAATCTCAGGTATTCCTGTCCTCCTTTCTGTTCTTTGTTTGCTGTAATACATAGAATCCAAAACAGAGTTCAATTTTTGTTTATGCTGGCTTCAGAAGAGTTCAGATTGCAGTGTTAACCCTAAATTATTACTGTTTACATTTGTTTCTCTTTGATCTTAATTTAATATCTCTGAACAAACATTTCAGTGCTTTATATCATTTTGGTCTACGTGCCTTGTTCTTGCCTGTCGTTTTCAATGCAGAATTAGGTGCCCCCAACGTCTGACACACCTAGATGAAGAGATGCAAAGTGTTGCTTTTGAAGTAGGTTCAGTGATACTTCCTTCTGAGTAAACACAGCTAGGATTGTGCCACAAGTCCTATATGTTACACGTATGACTACGGTGTGAGTGTCTTAAATCCCTACTCATTGCCACTACCATTGCTCGTTATAAGGATTCATTCCTGTTTGGCTATTAGTGTGGTATTAAGTAAGATGTTGCTGTTTTTTCTGGATAAGAAATGTTCTTGGATTCCACGGTGGATAATGTGTGGCTCTTTTATCTGTCCTATGATTGTACAGTGGTACGTCAGGTTACATACGCTTCAGGTTACAGACTCCGCTAACCCAGAAATAGTGCCTCAGGTTAAGAACTTTGCTTCAGGATCAGAATAGAAATCGTGCTCCGGCGGCGCGGCGGCAGCAGGAGGCCCCATCAGCTAAAGTGGTGCTTCAGGTTAAGAACAGTTTCAGGTTAAGTACGGACCTCCGGAACGAATTAAGTACTTACCGTATTTTTCGCCCTATAGGACGCACTTTTTCCCCTCCAAAAATGAAGGGGAAATGTGTGTGCGTCCTATGGGCGGAATGCAGGCTTTCGCTGAAGCCTGGAGAGCGTGCGGGGGCGGTGCGCCCCGACCCCTCTCGCTCTCCAGGCTTCAGGAAGCTATCCGCAAGCCTTGCAAGCCCGGTGGGAGGTCCCGCGGGCTCACAAGGCTTGCGGGCAGCAGCCTGCAGCCCACAAGCTCGGGGGACAGCGGGGAGGCGGAGCGCCGCCACCCCGCTATTCCCTGACCTGGTCTGGAGGCTGGCGGGGGGGGAGAAGTAAGCTTGCTTCTCCCCTCCCCCGCCAGCCCCACAAGCTCAGGGGATAGCAGGGAGGCGGAGTGCCACCACCCCGCTATTCCCTGACCTGGTCTGGAGGCTGGCGGGGGGGGGGGAGAAGCAAGGTTGCTTCTCCCCCCCCCCGCCAGCCCCACAAGCTCAGGGGATAGCGGGGAGGCAGAGCGCCGCCACAGATCCGGTCTGGAGGCTGGCGGGGGGGAGAAGCAAGCTTGCTTCTCCCCATCGCCAGCACCACAAGCTCGGGGGACAGTGGGGCAAGCCGCTGCCCCACGGAGGCTAGAGAGGCTGTCCCTGAAGGCAGAAGAGGGAGACGGAGCGCTCCGTCTCCCTCTTCTAGCTTGGGGATGGCTGCGCAAACCTGGGGGGGAAATAAATTTTTCCCCCTTGATTTCCCCCCCAAAAAACTAGGTGCGTCCTATGGGCCGGTGCGTCCTATAAGGCGAAAAATACGGTAACTGTACTTAGGTGGATTCATTTTTCTGCTAATGTATTTCTTTTGGTTTATATTTTTTATCATTCAAAGATCATAGGGTTGTTTACAACATACATATACAAAATGAGAGCGCACAATGCATAACAAAAAAACCAAAAATAAACCAATAACCCCCCTTCCACAAACACATCTGAAACGCCGTGGATTATAATCTGCCAAAGTTATAGAGAAACGTCAGGAGAAACACTGGACTCAGCTTCATTTTACTTCTGCAAAATGGAGATGAGTCATGGTTTCCTTTCAATTATGCTGGTGAGCAGGAGGACTGTACATGCTTTTTATACTGAGAGTATATGAACTACGAGCTGCATATGCACTTATTTTGGCATTCTGATATGAAACAAGAAAGAAAGAAAGAAAGAAAGAAAGAAAGAAAGAAAGAAAGGTAAGCCCCTAAGAGGAGAAGCGATGAAGGGTGTGATAGCTGTGTGATAGTGTGTCAATTGCAGTGCAAGTGTGCTGCTCCTGTGATCACGCCTTGTCATCTAGTATGAATATGTGTGTGAATCCACAGCTTTGGCTGAATATGACACAGTGTGAGTTGACATGATACTTCTAAGCACTAAGTTCGGATCAAACTAGTAGTTAATGTCTTTCCAATCAGGAAAAGAGCCAGCACAATGAATGTTAAATTTGGTTGTGGGCAATGTTTGTTAGAATCCTGTCTCATTGGGTGCTGTGGTACCATCCATCCCTTAGTTGTGAATCTGGCTTGTCCTCAGCCACCCAGAGAGCCTTTGCCGGAGTAAGAATTTAAATTAATACATCTCGCATCTGATTAACACTTTTGTTTGTGCTGGCTCTTTCTTGGTTGCCTGACAGCTGTGCTAGGGCCCCTTATAAACACACATCTGTTTTTGAATGGGCTTAGTCCTCACCACTGCATTACAGTGCCCCCATATTTGGTGAGATGAGACCTAAACAGCTTTCTTAATAGCTTAATATTATTATTATTATTAGCTATTAAGAAAGCAGAATTTATTGCTTTCGGTAACTTATGGTCGCTTTTATTATTGTGGATATCTTTGACTTCCATAGTTTCTCAGAAAGCCACAAGTTCGGCTTCAAGGTCGCATTCCATCGATGTAGCAGTGCTGAATTGCCATGGAATTGTGAAGATAATATACCAAGGAAATTTGGAATGTGCTGGGCCAGCTCAGTGAACATAAACAGATCTATGCATTGTGATAACTGCAGCTTCTGAGTCAGAGGCAGAGCAGCAAAAGTGGATGGAGAAACCATAAAGTGCAGAGGCGCTTGACCCTTTCTGCTTTAAGGCATATAGAAGGGAAGACTCCTGTCTGGGGGAGAGTCAGAGAGTGGGGGAATTGCATGGGGTGAGTATTGCACCATCCCTAGGACCCTTTGGTGAGAGCAGAAAGCTGGGAGAGGGGAAAGTAGGTGAAATCCTGGTGAGAATGGAGCTTTGAAAGAGGAGGATAAGGGTAGGGATATTGAATATCTGGTCTGCTGTTAACTGGCATTGCTCTTTGTGAGATAAAATAAGCTGCTTGTGAGGAGGCTGCTATTGTTTGCATTTGTACTTTATTTATTAATATTTCTGCACTGTGGCGAATTTTGTCCTGCTAAACTCACTGTAAATGGACGTTCCTGTATTTTGCACTGAGCCCCTCAAGGACGTAATATGTGTCTGTGTAAAGGGAGACAGGAGGGAGCTCTGAGCTGATGTAATTGGCAGGGTGATGGGCAGAGGGAGCTGCAGCCGTGCTGTTTAAAGAACAGGGTTAACAGAAAACTGGAAACCGTCACCCACTCTGAACCATCCCTCAGCCAACAAGTATT